TATAGCCGCACCATATTTTGAGAACTTTTAACATATTACAAAAACATACCAAACTTATTTTATGTGCAGAACTGTACAAACATACATATCCAGCCCTAACTGCCAAAATAACGTAAGCGACATTTTTTTTTTTAATTTTATTTTTGACGCAGAGAAAAGAAAAATTAAAAAAAAAAATGTCGCTTACGTTATTTTGGCGGTTAGGGCTCGATATGTATGTTTGTACAGTTCTGCACATAAAATAAGTTTGGTAATTTTTTGTTGAATTTGGTAACTTTTTTCGGTGATTTTGGTAAATAATAAAAAAATTGTGTGGCAACACTGCTTACGACTGCTTGCAACTGAATGCTCGACAACGTAGGACGCCAGTTGCACGAGTTGTGGCGTTGGTGTCGGTGTCATGCAGTGACGTGACGCATTCAAAGCGACAAGAGCCATAGATAGCGCCTCCCCCCACCTAACAGCTATTGTGACTTCGACTCTTAACAGAGGTGGTGGGGCCTTTGAGGCTCTCTCTTTTTACTTTTACTACACACTTTTATCGTGTTTGCGGGTAAGCCCCTTTGTTTTTGCTTGACTTCCTTTGCCTTTGTCTTTTGACCATGTTCAAGTTGATTTGTGGTTGAGAGTTGCTTTGTGTTAATATACAAACGAGTATGGAAGTGAGTGTGACACAATCGTGACAGGTGAACAAAATAACAAAGGCGAAAAAAGCAAATTATTAAAAACTACTCCTAAGCCGACGGGTGAAATGTGAATTAATTGTTTTTAACTGTGAAGTCGAGCAACACCGTGGAAGTTTTTGTGGAAAAAAATGTACTCAAAAGAATGTGTGAGCTGTGTGGCTCATAAAAGTATGCAATGAAAAATTACGGCCCGAGAAATTGATTAGCCTTAATTGATGGTGCTTGACGAGTGTACGTACTGGGACTTGTTTTGAAGTGGCTTTGCAGTTAGTGGTGTATGTACGTTTGTGTCACTGTGCAAGTGTTTGGGGCAAAAAACAAATTGCCAAAAGTTGTGTATAAATGACAGAAACTTTGTAAATAGCTGTTAAAAACTTGTTTTCCTGTAGCATATGTAATTCTTAAAGCATACTTTGTGGAGCTCAATAGCACCAAGCCACTATGAAATCCTTGACCTGAGCCAATGCCATCGCTGAAAACTTTAACAAACTCAGCAAGTCATAGCAATGGCGGCGAGACAAGTTCATGTAACACCAGCGACAACAACAATAACAAAAAGAGCTATAATGCAACAACAATAACAATGACAAATGCGAAAACAAATACTTCGTGTTGCACTTAAGAGAAACGAATAAAGAATCATCAATGTTTAAACTACAGTTATTCTATGAAAAACGACGATTTCCTGCGCAAATATTATCCTGCAGCAGAAGAAAATTTCGAACATTTCTATGCAAATGGATGCGCGTACGTGGCGGCGTTGCGGTTGCTGCATTTGTTGTGGAAAATTTGAGGCACACAGGGCTTACATAAAAAAAAAATAACAGCAAATTAAATGCAATACAAACAGCAAAAGCCACTATAACAACAACAACAACAACAACAACAACAACAGCAACGGCAACCCAGCAGTTAGCGTTTACGCTAAAAACAAAAGCGCACAGCAACCACAACAACAGCGCAGCAGCTGTGCGTGTAATAAGTTTAGCATACCAACAACGAAAAGCGGCGGGGAGATTGGCTTGTCAAAGGAAGAATAAGTGGCCACAAACACAGCTGACTTTTGCGGCAGCAACCGGAAGCTGTAACCATAGCCGGATCAACGTTACCCGATCCCACCTGACAAGCGTTCGTTTCACTTTAACTCTGATTTCCTATGCTAATGTTGCGTTTGTTATTTTTGCCCTAACGGAGTTACACTTTGCTGGCAGCTATAATCCAAACGTGGTAGTAGCTTTTGCGGCAACAGCAGCAGCAGGAGCAACCATTCAACAAACTCAAACGCATCTACCAGCAGCCAATTTTTTAGAATTTGTTGTTGGAAGCGAACATTTGCCACAGCAGCTCGCACCGTTAACAACAATGGGCTCCTGTTTCGGGCGTTGTATGGCAAAGGATGCACTTGGCGGCGGCAGCGGCAGCAGCGGCAGCTCGACCAGCACCACCACCGCAACATCCTGTTTGTGGTAAGTGACGCGCGTTTGTGCTTAATTAAAATCTAATTGCATTGGTTGGGTATAATATGGCTGCTCCGCAACGTGCTCGTATAGATGCAAATTGATGTACGCTTAAACATGCAAACATACATACACATAAATACAAATGTATGAGTGTTTAAAATTGCGCTGTGTGCACGCCAAATTGGTAGAAAATTTAATTTTCTCTAATTCAGCAAAAGTATTGTTATAATACATGCACCCATACATTCATTTATGATCTATAAGCAACTTAGTCCTCGGTGTAGGTAAAATTTGCGTTAACCCAGTATGAAATCTGTAACTTGTTCTTGTGTAACCCAGCAGAAAATGTGTAATTACTTCTTGTATGTAAAGATGAGCATTTTTGGACCAGCACAGGGCTATTGCAGGACCATTTTGATACTGGTTTTCGACTAATTGGGGACCACTTCAGCACTAGTTCGGGATCATTTCGGAACCTGTTCAGAACTATTTCAGGGCCATTTAGGGACTATTTGGGGATCATTTCGGCACCGTCTTGGGACAAGATCAGGACCATTTCACGACTAGTTCACGGTTATTTGAGAACCAATCTGGGGCTATTTCAGGTCCATTACGGGATAGTTGCGACTATTTCAGGACTATTTATGGAACATATCGGTATTATCTCGCGAGCATTTCGGGACTAGTTCGAGATCATTTTGGGACTACTACGGAACCATTTTGGAACCATTTGTGGACTTCTTGGTTATCATTTCAGAGCAAGTTCTCGATATTTTCACTTCTAGACTACTTCAGGGCAATTTTAGGACTATTTTAGGATCACTTCAGACTTGTTCGGAATCGTTTCGGGAGCAGTTCAGAACTTTGTTAGGGTCATTTCGTGATAATTTCGCGGCCAGTTCACGGCTATTTTAGGAATATTTCAGGTCCACTTCGGGATAGTTCACTGCAATATTAGGCCCCTTTCAGACCTATTTCAGGTCCATTTCGGAACCGTTTCGGGACTAATTACGGCAATTTGCGGACCATTTCGGGACTAGATTAGGACCATTTCAACACTACCTCCCGGCTATTTGAGGATAATTTTGGGGCTATTTCAGACCCATTTCGGGATGATTCACGAATATTTCAGGACTATTTAGGGAACATATCGGTATAAGCTGCGGACGATTTCGGGACTAATTCGAGTTCGTTTTCAGGTAGTAAAGGCCCATTTCCGGACCGTTTCAAGACTTGTTGGAGAAAATTTCGGTAC